ATAGAGATTTTATATACCTTGGTTTCATCATCAACCCAAATGGAGACTACAGCCAAGAAATCAGAAGAAGACTGAGACTAGGAAGGGCAGCAATGAAGGAATTAGAAAAGATCATCCAGTGTACGGATGTGCCACTGGAGACCAAGACTAAAATCATTCACACTCGTGTACTTCCAATCTCCATGTATGAGTGTGAAAGTCAGACAGTTAAGAAAGCTGAGAAGGGGTAAAATGATTCGTTTGAAATGTGGTGCTGGAGGAGAGCTTTCCAGATACCCTGTCCTGCCAGAAAGACAAACAAGTCTTTGGTCTGAACTACTCTCTGAAGGCAAAAATGACAAAACTGAGGCTGTCCTACTTTGGGTACATCATGAGAAGGCAGGGTTATCTGGAAAAGACAACAGTGCTGTGAAAAGTGGAAGGTAGCAGGAAAAGAGAAGAATAAATATAAGATAGAATGACTCCCTAAACGAAGCTACACGCTTGAGTTTACAAGAGCTGAGCAGAGCTGCTGAGTACAGAACATACTGGAGATCGCTCATTCAGAAGATGTCCATTTGTCAGTAGTGACTTGACCCGCACATGACAATTATCCTAGTTGCAGGGCTGGTTGCCGGGTTGAACTCTATTTCTTGCTACTATTATTAAAACAATTTGGAGCCAGAAATTTTTACCTATCAGTTGAAAATTAATCAGAGACCTACCCACTAGATCTAAACCTACTTTCTGCTCACCACCATTTCATTGGGAAAGCTACTACGTCTCCTTTGTCCAACTTGCCTTTCTGTTATTCAAGAGCTTTCTAAACGAGGGAGGGCATTCTCTAGTTATATCTAAAAAACACTTCTTTCCCTTGTTCAGACAGTGGAATCTGGAGGGGTCTGGTTAGCGTAAAAAGTTCTTTTCTTTGGTGTGATCTATTTTATCTCCCACTTGGAACAATCCTTTTATTCACACTGGAGATGTTTATTCTCCAGTGAGAAAGGTTCAGATGAGTCTTTGGATCATTGGTTTACTTGCAAGCAAGGTTTACCCAGTTTACTTGTGAGTAAGGAGGCAGCAGCATGAGGGAAATCACTGGGGTGGAGGTTGGAGAGACAGAAGGCCAGTAATCCTGCTATTCCTCCCCTTTCTCCTCAGCTGGGGCTCTCTCGGGGCTGTGCTGCCTCCTGGAGGTGAAATGCATGGAGCAGACTAGCACCCTTCCCTGCGGCCGTTGTTCAATGGGCTGCGGAGTGATTTTCCTTTTCTTTTTCTGACTACTTAAAATAAGTAGCATATCAAAAGAGTACTGCATCAACAATTGTGCCGCATCAGTTAGGGAAATCTTTTTTTAAAAAAAGAGATGATAATGAAAATAGAGGAGGGGGTTTCTCCATTTTCCCTTTTATTGTCAGAACCCACTTCAGATAACACCGCCTCCAGCTCCATTTCCATATGGGCTGTCTTCATACAGGCTACACGAGCTGATGACGATTGCACTGAATCGTACCAAAAAGAATATATGCGCTAGCCCTACGCTAGAAAGGCGCACAACAGCTCTTAAAGGGGCAGGATGGATTAATCTAACTAGAAATGTGTGGATGCCATAATTTGGTTTGTGCCAAACCGTAGCAATAGCAACCCAAAGAGCAATTTATATACTTGTCTGGACAGACCCTAACTCTTTGCAGGTGGAATCTATTTGATCATCTCTTTTTTCTTCCTCTGCTTCTTCCTCCTTCTCCGTTCTGGCTTCACAATGCTACCGGCATTTATGGAAACAAGGGAAACTGTTGTGTAGGACACTGAAGTGCTCCTATATTTTATTAAATTATCAAACGACATAAAATGATGAGAGCAGATACAGGCACGACTATCAGAATGATGCTTTATTTTTGCTCCGTTATGAAGGTGAATAACTATCAGAATGATGCTTTATTTTTGCTCCATTATGAAGGTGAATAATAACTTGGTAGTTGTGGGTTTTTCGGGCTCTTTGGCCGTGTTCTGAAGGTTGTTCTTCCTAACATTTCGCCAGTCTCTTTGCCGGCATCTTCCGAGGACAGCACTGTCCTCTGAAGATGCCGGCCACAGAGACTAGCAAAACGTTAGGAAGAACAACTTTCAGAATACAGCCAAAGAGCCCGAAAAACCCACAACAACCATTAGATCCTGACCGTGAAAGCCTTTGCGAATACACTGGATAATACCATTAGATCTCAGCTGTGAAAGCCTTTGCGAATACACTGCAAAAAAACTTGTCTAAAAGTTTGTTTTTACTCCATGCAGGGATTGCTGTTGCAATAAGCTAGCTCTTGCTGCCCTCTCTTGACTGCAACTCTATATTGCAGCTGAAACAGGTGCCTGGATTGACAAACTGTATCTTGGCATGGGGTTTAGCTCTGATCTTACAGTTAAGGCCTGAAATGGCAGTCCTGCAACTGGAGAAGTGTGTTGAAGGCTCTTTTCCCAGAGGCAAAGGGACACCATTGCCAAACAGTGGAGATTTCCAGCGTAGAAGCATCTCTGCAATGGAAAAATGCAAAATACCATGGAATCAATACTACAGAACCACAGATGCAGCTGCTAGATCCACAACCTGTAACTTCCCTTAGAGACCCGGAATCCAGGGATTAAAGCTGGGAAGAAGCTGCATGTCTTAGCCATGGTGCTGTAATGTTAGTGTAGGGAGGTAAAGGTTTCCCTTGACAATTTTTGTCCAGTCGTGTTTGACTCTAGGAGGCGGTGCTCATCCCCGTTTCCAAGCCAGAGAGCCAGCATTTTGTCCGAAGACAATCTTCCGTGGTCAAGTCCTGCAACTGGAGAAGTGTGTTGAAGGCTATTTTCCCAGAGGCAAAGGGACACCATTGCCAAACAGTGGAGATTTCCAGCGTAGAAGCATCTCTGCAATGGAAAAATGCAAAATACCATGGAATCAATACCACAGAACCACAGATGCAGCTGCTAGATCCACAACCTGTAACTTCCCTTAGAGACCCGGGATCCAGGGATTAAAGCTGGGAAGGAGCTGCATGTCTTAGCCATGATGCTGTAATGTTAGTGTAGGGAGATCCGTGTTCAAATCCCATGGCAGCAATTGGCTTCTGCAGTTTAGCCCACAGCGCCACCCATGTTCAAATCCCGTGGCAGCAATTGGGAGTAGCTACTTTTCTGTTAGCCTAATCTCACACAGAGGGCTGTGAGAATAACACAAAGGACACAAGAATAACACATGTATGCCATCCTGACCTCAGAACAAAGTCAGGAGGAAGATCAAGATGGTAGCAATTAGAATAGAAATAGGAAGATTTTTTTTCTATTGATGGAGGTGCTCTCTGGTAGGAAGTGGCGGAAGCATTCTTATGTTCCCCCTCTGATCAGCCCTGAATAGGTAAAGGCAGAGATTCCCCTTGACATTTAGTCCAGTCGTGTCCGACTCTAGGGGGCACTGTGCTCATCCCCTTCTCCAAGTCGTAGAGCCAGTGTTTGTCCGTAGTCAGTTTCCGTGGTCACGTGGTCAGCGCCACTAGATACAGAACACCGTTACCTTCCCACCAAGGTGGTACCTATTTATCTACTCACATTTACATGCTTTCGAACTGCTTTGTTGACAGGAGCTGGGACGAGCAACGGGAACACTCCCATCACGTGGATTTGATCTTACGACAGCTGGTCTTCTGACCTTGCAGCACAGAGGCTTCTGCGGTTTAAGCTGCAGTGCCACCATGTCCCATAATAGCTGAATTACAGTTGTGCAGAGAAGGAGGAACTCTGACACATGTATTTATTAGTGCTGATTATATCCCGCCTTTCTGTCAGTGAGAAGGCATGTGTTGCTCTCTTTTTTCTCCCTTTTTTCTCATCATACATAGCTCTATGAGAAAGGTCAGCTTGAGAGAGAATCATAGTATCACAGAATCGTCATAGGGTTGGAAGGGACCTTGGAGGTCTTCTAGCCCAATCCCCTGCCCAAGGCAGGAGACCTCATATCATCTGAGACAGATGGCTGTCCAATCTTTTCTTGAAAACCTCCAGCGATTGGGGCACCCACAGCATTGGGAGGTAAGGACTGGGCCAAAGCTATTCAGGCAGCTTCATGACTCAGGAGGGAATAGAACCTAGATTCCCTGAGATCCAGGACTACATACTCTCTGTTATACCATGATGGCTGTTACCATTCAAGCATCCAAATAGTTAAATTCTCTTCAAACGCACACAGGACCCAAACTTTTGCCTCTCCCTCTTACCTCCAAAATTTCTTCCACTGGGAATCCTTCAAAATACAAAATCTAGGCATTTGTTATGACCTGCATTTCTTTTTCCAAACACACTCAACAGACATACAAAGATGTGACTATAAGGCAGGCTCTTCCAATATTTTGGACAATAGGTACACAGGTCTTCGACTAGAGGTGTGCAGATTTGTTTTATTTTATTTTGTGCTACAGTTTGAAAAAAAACACAGAAATCTGTATTCCTGTAACCCTGATCATGAGAGTGCAGACGCTCATGCTGGTCTATCAAAAAGCCCCAGTGCTTCAAAACTGCATACTATGGTTCAGAGCTTAGAAACGTTACATATTTAGAAAGAAGTAACTTTCCGAACCTTGGGGAGAGAGCAAGTGGAAGAACAAAGACTAGTGGCCAAGAATGCTATTTTATTCTTCAAGAGTCAACAATGGATGAGATTTCAAATTCAATCCAGTGTTTTAATAATTACTTAATTACTAAAATACTCTCAGACTATAATTTCCATGATCCCCCAGCCAGTTCTGCCATGGCTCCAGTACCTCACAAGATGGAAGATAAAGTCTAAAGATTCAAGGGGCAAAAGACTGAAAAAGGCTCCTTTGGCATATCGGGCCTTTGAGATTTACCTCTTATGCTTTCAGGAATCTGATTTTTAATTTTTTTAAAAAAGCGTCAAAGAGAGTAACAGGAAGTTGTGGTGATTTTCAGAGTTGTAGCCCTGTTATTCTGTGCATGAGTTTCAGCATGGAACACAAAACAAAACAAAAAAGGGGGGGCCGAACCCTTGTGATGGGTCATTTATTCAAGACAGCAAGAGCATCTGAACGAAATTTAACGTGACATACACAAAATACCCGAGAAAGAACAAAGTTCCTCTTTGCCTTTAGCAGTCTTCAGAAAGGCCGACAGCCAGTCCTCCGCCTCGTAAGACAGAGGATGACAGTTTCATAATCCACCATGCATGAGATATCATAGCAGCTCTGCCAGGAGGAATTTATATTCCTTTCCTGGTGCATTACTGTATCCTGCACAATACACAGATCCAGCTGCAAATTACAATATTGTTACATCATTCCTTTATAAATTGTAATTGCCAAGATGTATTGAAAGGACTATTGTTTGTGTGCAGTGCCATGTGACATCACACGAACGTTCCCTCAATGGGTTTTCATTAAGGCATCTAGGCCATAAGGCAAAAGAAATGATGTTCTTCTTCTACTGCTTTTTACCAGCATAGAGTTCCTGCCGAGAAGGGATTTGCTACCTGTCCTCCTCATTTCCTAAGCTCTGTGCCTCTAGCGGCAGCCTTTGGGAAGGAGAGTCAATGACCTGGGTACTCTCTGTTTTGGAAGAAGTCGGGAACTGAATCCTGCATGCCTGGAAGGTCCGACAGATTTCCCGTTGGGCGTTTTCACTCACCAGCACATAGATAAACGGGTCAGCCACGGCGTTGGCTGTGGAAAAGCACAGGAATACTACCGAGGTGGTGTAGATGTCTTTCTCCAAACTGCACGCCTGCTTTGGAAACAAGAGAAAGGTGATGGCTTTTACCAGCACAACAGAATGGTAGGGGGCAAAGCAGATCACGAAGATGGAGATGACCGCCACCGCCAGATGCTTCACTTTTGCTTTCTGGGATGAGCTTAGACTGTAGCTGGTCTTAATGCTTTGAAAGATTTTGTAGTTCATGCAAATCAGGAGCAAGAAAGGGATGATGAAACCCACAAAGAATCGGGCGATGTTGTAATAAGCCACAGGGGAATTGAAGGGTTCTTCAAAGCAAGTTGTGCTGTTCGGGCTCTGGATGTGTGTCATGAAAAACACCGGGGAGTAGATTACCGCAACCATGCTGAAGAGAAACGCTGTTACCACCGTGGCCGTCGTCTGGCAGCGCCACCTCTTCCCTCTGGTTTCCAGCGCATACACCACGGCTATGTAGCGATCAATGGAAATGCAGCACAGGAGAAGGATGCTGATGTAGATGTTGCAAAAGAAGATGTAGCCAGTCACGAGGCATGACGTTGGCCCCATAGTCCAGTGGTGGCCATTCTGCACGTAGATGATCCAAAGGGGAAGGGTGCTTAGGTACATTAGCTCGCACAACGACAGGCCAAACAGGTAGATGGCAGTGATATTTTTTCTGCCAATCTGTATGAAGGTCACGATCGCAGTTACACAGTTGGCTGGGAGGCCCACCGCAAAGACCACACTGTACACAACCACCAGGAGTTGCCGACTTTCTTCATACGGCATGCCCGTGGAATTGCACATGTTGCCGATACCTGTAGCGTCATCTGGAGACCGCCTCCAATATTGGGGCTCCCTGTTGGTCTACAAGCAAAACGAAAACAGATTTTGTAAAAAAGCAGCAAACTCAAGGGCCTGAAAGGGTACATTGGCAAGTGAAGTATGGTTCCCTTCCATGACCCTGTTTAGTGGTTACTCAACGTCTTCACTCTAGATGGTGGAAATCTCTCTCCTAAAGTTATGTTACAAACAATAAGAGCTTTAAACTAAAATGTTGTTGGGTAAGTTCGGCCCTGCCCTTTGGCAATTGAAGAACTTATTTGAAATAAAAACTCAACCTTTTCAGCAAAACCAGTTCCCTGGCATCTTATGAAGAAACAGAGTACGATAAGTAAATATCAAACTCTTCTCTACCTAATTCTACTATAAGGCAGGGGGAATTCCCCTGGAAATGTTAAGTGGCTTTTGCCTTTAAAAAAAAAAATCATTTACAATCATGTGCGTTAACTCTGTTCAAAAACTGGGCTCCTGTTATGACTTGAAAGATGTTGTGAGCTCCCTTTTCCTACTTTATAATACAGTTTTGAGTTGTGTTTCCTATCCTGGCGCTGTGAGTTGTGCAAACTTGCCATGACTGAGCTGACCACAGTTAGTTGTGGTTCTCGTTCCCCCCACTCGCCTTCACTAAAGTGAACAACAGAAGCGTTCATGCAATTCCTGTCATCTTTAATGACTGGTTTCAATGACCGGAGCATCAGTTCATTCTCTACAGACAGTTCATAACTCATTCTGCACTTACTCTCATTTCCTTTTGTCGTTTATATCTCCTCTTCTGTTACATGTAAGAAAAGAGGAGAAGGATTTTTACAGATCTGAACAGCTGCACTCAGTGGAGGGCCAGCTTGAGGCAAAGGTCAAGGTAGGGATATCCTACCATTCAGCATGTAGAAGTTGAAAGGACTGGGTTTTGAAGTTTCCTTCCAACACTGGTGATGGGACAGTGTCTCCACCACACCTGAGGGTAGCTGTGAGCTTAGAAAGCATGAAGGATTAGTCACATGACACACACAGCTTCTCACCACTCTTCCTGGCCTTCAGCAATCACTTGGTTTCCAAATTTTCACCTATTTGCATCCCTTAATTTTTTTTTTGAGAAACTCATGCCTCCCCACCTCATTTATCCACCTCTCTTTTATCCCCCTGCCCCATTGTTGTTGTTGTTTAGTTGTTTAGTCGTGTCCGACTCTTCATGACCCCATGGACCATAGCACGCCCTCCTGTCTTCCACTGCCTCCTGGAGTTGGGTCAAATTCATGTTGGTTGCTTCAATGACACTGTCCAACTATCTCATCCTCTGTGGTCCCCTTCTCCTCTGTCCCATTACTTGCCATTATTTGCTGTTACAAACCCTATTTTAAACAAAAATAAAAAATTGCAAACAATAAATATCTGCAGCAGCAGTGTTTCCCAACCCATCCTAAGGATACGTACCACAAAAATCAACTGGCTTTTTTTTTCCTTTATGGAAAATTTCACAGTCACATGGCCCGCCACTTCTCCATTCCCTCTTATGGGTTCATCCCTTTTCCCATGTTTGGGAACGAGATGCTCTTCCTCAGTTTAGCTGTGCCCTGATTTCTACCCTTCCGTGTAAGGGTAGTTCATATTCTAAACAGAGAAGCATCTCACTCCAACATTTTGAAGGAGTCCCCTTCGTATTACAGTGAACTCTCTCCCTAATGCTCACGGGGCAAATTGTGCATGATGTTAAATGAACCGTTAAACACTGAAAGTGACTTTATCTTAAAAGAAATGTATTTTTCCATGTATATGACTATACTTTTGTCTAAAATCTTTAGACTAAAAATTGAGGGTCGCCTTATACACAGAAGTAAGCTGAGGAGAGAAAAAAACAAGTGGAGGGGAAAGCAGGGATCAAAGCAATCCTGCAGTGCTTTGATCATTTCCCCCCTACTCTTGCTAACCCCCACTTAGATTTCTTAATTTTGGGTTAGAAAACGGGGGTGTCTTATACAAGGGAGTGTCTTATACATGGAAAAATACGGTAAATAGCAGTGGGGGGAGAGATATTAAGATCAGGGCCGTAGCAGAGGAAGGGGAGAATTTAACCTTTTCCCTGCCCTGCTATGTCCTCAACTAAAAAAAAGCCCCCCCACACAAAAAAATGGTATTTGAGTCAGAAGGGAAATACCCTTTGGCACACACAGCTAGGGTTGTACCTTGTAAGTTTCCTTCTCTTATGAAGAGAACTAGTTCCTCTTTTTTTAAAAAAAAAAAAATGAGGATCTCAGAACAGCTGCCTGCAGAAGAAAGGAATTAGTAAACCACTTCTGTATATTCGCTACCTAGAAAGCTCTGGAAAGGATCGCCATAAATCAGAATTGACCTTAAAGGATGCAATTATTATTACTATTATTATAATTTAAAAAAACAGGACTACTTAAATCCTGCAGAAATATTCTCATTTGGATTTCATTTATTTGAGAGTTTGATACTGATCCCTCAGCTCCACTGCAGGTAGAAAGAATACTTTAAATCCCCTTCTTTTTTGAAAGTGAGCAGAAAGACTTAGGAAAAAACACGGGATGAATCAAGATGAAAAAAATGTCTATGGACTGGGTGCAAAAATACTGCTAATACCAGTGGAAACAATAATACTTGAAGGAGAAGAACACGTGCGCCTTTGTGGAAGAACAATATTTGCCGTTATGGCAGTATACTAAAAGAGTCATTGTAGTTGCATGTAGTCGCATATTGTATGATAAGTTAATTTAACGTCTGTGACCATTTAAAATTTCTGTTAAAAGAGGTACAGTTTCTTACACCCATCCGTTTCAGGCTTGCTGATTTTTAATGTGGTCTGTTTTGACCACAGCCACCTGCTCGCTAATCAGTAACCTGTATCATAATGTCTTCTGCGTTTTGATGGTGGCAGATAATATCATGCTTTCTGCTTATCTCTGAGAGACCAGTGGATGAAAATCCAAACCACAGAGAAGACAGCAAAAAGAAAACCAATTTGACGGTACATTCCAGAAAACCCTGCAAGATCTTGGAAAGAATTACTGTGTGAGAGGATTTGCCCATCCCACACGAAGGTTCCTCTCATGTTGTTTAGGTAATGTTTAAAGGGCACCTGAATGTTAGTAGCTGGAAAGCTGATTTGTCATCTCCAGAGGAACGGAATGTTTTAAAGGACAAACATAAGGCAGGCCCTACTGTTAGGCAGAGGAAGGCAGATGCCTCAGACAGCAGGCTACTGGCACCCAAAAATTCCATCTCAAAGGGGTAAATGATGAGGAAAATCCTTGTGATGATACTGTGTTATATATTGGAATCTGTATATTGTGTTTTATTTTAAGGCTTAAAATACTTAACCTCTCAAATTCCTTTCTCTAGACCTAAGATCCTTATATAAAAGACGAATTTGGGAAAACAGGGATTTTCTCAGACGTATTCTAGATTAAAGAAACTTTGTACAGCTTTATTCTCCTGCAAGCAACTCCTGCTCAGGAATCTTGTTGGAGTCTGGAACTCCCGGGCAAACATTCTTATGGCGTCTAGCTTGGTTTGTGTTTGCATTATTGCTGTCGTTGCTTTGGTTCCCTGATTTAAACTGTGAAGTTTATTGTGTTTGAAATACTCCTTTAAAAAGACAACACCAGAGAACTGAGCAAATGGTATACAGGGTCTATGTGCAAGCCAAACCTTGGGAAATCTGGATTTCTGTCTGTGTAGGGAGCCTACACACAAGCAGGAAGTCTCCTCTGCAGACATGTTGCTTTCAACATGGAGAAAAGAGATGGAAGGAGAGGGTCTGTGGAACTCTTTGCCACAGGATGTAGCGATGGCATCTGTTCTAGACGACTTTAAAAGGGGATTGGAGAGATTCCTGGAAGAAATGTCCATCGCAGGTGACAAGTCATGATGGGGATGTATAATCTCCAGGCTTCGAAGGAAGGTACTTCAAAATGCCAGATGCAGGGGAGGGGTATCAGGAGACAGGGATCTCGTTGTCTCATGTGCTCCCAGAGGCATCTGTTGGAGCCACTGTGAGGTAAAGGAAGCTGGATTAGATGGGCCTTTGGCCTGTTCCAGCAGGGCTCTTCTTATGTTATGTTCTTATGTAGGTACTTCCTTTCAAGCAGGGTGATGCTATCCATGTGAACAATGACTGAACAGGGCTTCTCTTGGTCTGGTGTCCTCAGTGTAGTGCAGGATCATATCCTGTTGCCGATGTTGAACAAAGGGTGGCTTCTGCACATGGAATGGAGGTGGGATTGCACTGCCTGCTCTCAAGGAGACATCTGGGGCCCCAGGGAATTATTGTTTCTCTGGGAAAAGAGACACGTCTCTCAGGGAGAGCCATACTGGTGGAGGAGAAAACCTGATGTTTGTGTGTAAGGTGCTTTTCACGTTTGAACACAGAGTGGTCGACCAGCCCAGATGGGCGGGATATAAATCAAATCAAATCAATCAATCAATCAATCAATCAATCAATCAATCAATCAATATCTTTTCCCATTCCCAGCTGGCTTCCTGGCTCAGCAGAAATATACCTATGATCAGAGTCTGGGTTTTAGCACTCACAGGGATTCAAAAACAGTCTATTAGGGGTTATGTTCTCAAAGCCCAGGACCTGGATGGAGAGATCTGTTTGTTTTGGGTTTTGCTCCATTCGACTGCTTTTAATTTCAAAGCATTTGATGTTTTCAGTCTCAAATTCTTCATCTGCAAATTTTGGAAAATTCATGCCTGCAAAACCCAGACATTGATCATTAGCTTGGCCCTCAAAACTCAGGGAATGAGGTGCTATTGATTGTTGGCTGGTATTGAGAATCATCTTGTCTTTCACCTCAGGCATGAAAAGGTCTGAGGTGAATCTTGCCTGGCCCTATTAAAAAGGTGTAATGTCTGGACTGAGAAGTCGTGGTGTCAAGGCTGGGCCACAGGCAATAGTCTGAGGTGGGTCTGGAGCTGTGGATGTGGAGTTGTGGGACAAGCCACGGACAGAACTGCGAACTAAGAACCAAGGCAGAACATAAGAGAAAGCGTTGAGAAGT